CAAACCTTTCAATGCCTCGTCGAGCCAATCACATTGAAGCAACTAAACCTAAAAGAATTAGAATCCATTCTTTGTCAATTTGACTCTACCACATTGCTGATGGCAGAGTTGTCTGCTATTTTTGACAGCGAACTTCGTCTGCAGCAAAACGTAATGAGTAATAGTTTAGATTTTAGTTTTTACAGTAATGGCGGCTATGAGGCGTGCTAAAAAGCTTGAATTTGGCGTCCACAACGAGTGAGGTAGTAAATTTTCGTTTACGAGGATAGCTGCAGGCGTCAAAGGCTCTTTGGTTGTGTTGGAAGATCACACAGACACGGACCGAAATCCAACTATGTCTCGTCCTCGTGCCCATTGGCAACCCCCAGTCACAGCCGCCACAGCAAACGAGGGGAGAAGCAAAAAGTAATCTCTACGGGTACCATCAAACTACCGCTGGTCTCGAATGCACCGCATTCCTTCCTCACTTTGTTAGGCCCAGCGGTCTAACAATGCTCTGATAATATTTTGATTCCAACTAGACTTCAGTCCATTTGTCAATGGCAGTCATCAGCAATGAGGTCAAATTCGCCTAATAGGTATGATTTCCATAAACCTCAGTGCCTCTCTCCCACCGCCCATCCTGGAAGCCTATTTGGGACACACTTAAGCCTAACTACATGATCACAACCCTCACAATGCCACAACACACTTCCTTCTGGAGTAGATGTGTGGAGCTCCGAGACTTTCCTATCGGCAGAGAAAGACATAAAGTTGGGGGAAAGAAGAAAAGCTTGGGCTCTGGACTGGCCCAGAGACCAGCTCACACGTACACGAACAGGACATACACTAAAGAGACTACATAACCGAGTAATACACCACATACTACTGAATTCAAACGAAACCCCAGTTAGTAGTTAGTTGCAAGAACAGAAATGATTGCTGTTGCTTCTAAAAGTAGACAAATATATAAATCCTTTATTGTACCTAGATACTGTTTTGATTATGACTTCAATGGGTTTCTATGCCTTGATTTCACATTCTTCCGGCCTCACTTACGCCAATCACAGCCAAGGCAATCGGCAATTGTAACTCAATCTGACTAGACAAACACATTATTAAAGCTTAATTGCCTGCTTGCAACAGTGAGGGTCAAAACGAATCGTATGAATGAAAAGAGCAGCTTGGCATGAGAAATACGCCTTATTTATAAATAAGTAGTATGTGGTGCATCAAATTCAGTAAGGTTTAAACACAGAAAGCAACCTCTTGAAAGTGCCACCCCCTCATTTTGTTTACACTAGCTAATTCAATTCAGACCAGTCGCTCACTGGTTTACTCCTCCGGGATCCGTGAAATGCCCATGCAATCACTGCAAGAACCAAGATTGCTCCATTACGGAAGTGGTCACCCGATCTGACTTTCCTGCGACACTAACCGTTATGCACCAGGGCACATTCTCCGTATCCAACTAATCTCCAAACCTACTGCAGTGTACCAAGAGGGGTTGGTAAAGCTTATATTGAGTGTAACTCCGTCTGCTTCGGTACCGTTGCTCTGAGACCGACACCATTAAGTGGGAAGGAGCCTCATGGTACGCTGATTTTTTGCCTCATTCTCACTTTCCGTTAAAATTCAACTTTGTAAATCTCTCCCCTTCTCTGCAGATTTGACACCTAAAGTTGTCTAATTGTTTCCTCTTTTGTTTAGCTTCGGCTTTGGAGGATTCGTAGTGTCCTATCCATGTCGCCGGTCAAGAAACACCGCCTTCTTGGTAGCTTAGGTTTGAACACCAAGACGTACTTATCAAAGATCCCAAATCGTCAAAATCTGCTTCAAAATAACAGCAATTCTCTTTTGATGTGCAAATTTTAATAAATAATTAGGTTTACAGATCAATTAACGCCCTGTAAAAGGAGAGCTGCTATTACCCTTCACTTAATTAATCTGCGAAGCATTAGTCTTTGGCCTAAGGGGAGACTAAGAATTCTATCAGTGGCATAATTTTAGTGCTTTGAATTCCAAAAAAGGCGATGGTCCGATTTTCTTCAATTGACTACCTTCAAGTGATTACTCACATCTCTGGTCAGCTTCATTAACAAACATCCTGAAGTCCTACGACTTGTGGGATACACTCCAGGCACCTACACGCATCCATCTGACGTTATTGTGGCCGAGACTTTCCTAACTTGTCATTGAAATGTCTACATAAAACCAAGGAATGACAGTAAAGCCAAGGTCTTGACATTTCCAGACGAAGTCATCACGTGAGTCGGTTGTGGTGGAGCTTGTGGCCGCAATGAACCGGACCACAGACTGGGCAAGACTACTTCCCCACTGGAGGTAGGAGGCGTAGGTTAGTGTAAAGGCAAGTTCTAGTTGGTTGAGTCGGATCTACTCAGGCTAGGGGATTGGCTCCCACCGCCAGCGAATCGATAGGCCGGACGAGCGTACGCTTGCGTACACCGCGTGGGATCAATGCGTGGGCGGAGGAAGGCAATGTTTGGGGCAGGATAGGCGTAGAGGCCAGGCGCTCTTAGTTGGCTCTCATTCGTCTCTAACTCCTCCACCTCGTGGCTTTTCTGACCTAGAAGGATGCTGAACTACCTAAAACGTCGTTTCTCCTCCACCGAACTCATCAACGAATTTAAGTCAGGAGTTGGCTATGGTGTGCAGCAGAGCCACCAACAGCAGCCAGCACCGAATCAGAAACCAAGTCAGGACTATAGGTACCTGCCGGAGGAAGTCCGTAGACAAACTGTGGAGGAGATGTACATGCAAGGCGCTGCAGAGAGTGAACAGGCAAGGGGGGCACGAACGGCATTTCCCAGTGCACCAAGCTCTCCCACTAAGCAATTACCAATGGGCATCAGCGGCGGCACTGGTTTCATGAACACTGTTACAGGACAGCTTACCAAGGCCAGGCATCTCTTCTCAACGGAGACACTTAATTCCATCATTGGTGATGTGAAGGCGCCTGGTGCAGCAGGCGGATCGAAGACCAAGATCCTATTGGTCATTGATCACCCTCTTACTGATTGGTTAGTTAAAGAGATTACTTTTTAGAATTTGAGGGAGTGCGCAAATTTACTAGTGTATTTGTGGATTATCAAAAGAAAAAATTGCCTAAAAGGCATTAATCTAGATTTTATTTTTAAACCAAATATAGAGGTTAGCTAAATGTCTTTGGGCTTAAGGAGAGAAAACATTGTGGTAAATTTAAACAACCGAAATGGAGTAATGAAATGTAGCCTTATTCGCCTATAATACTTGCTTGATAATCAAAAATTAATTAGTGCATTTATTTGTTTATCACATTAGTGCTTTGAAACGATGAAAAGTCTTTTCGTATTATAAGCGATTTACTTTGGTTGTATCTACTAAAATAATTGCAGATAGATAAGTCGTTAAGTTGAGGAGTTAAGTGAAACTGGTCGATCACACCTTAAATAAAAAAGATTACATACTCATCTACCCTACGCGCTCACTTCATTACCTTTAACCGAGAGTCATTGTCCACACACTCCGAACTTCAGCCCAGGGGCTTAAACTATTGTTTTGCAGATATCCATCTCTGAGGAGCAAATGATCGCGCGATAGCATAAAATTCGTTTAGCTAATTGTTTATTGCTCCAGTAATCCTACTTGTTCCGTGGATTCTCACTGACTAGTAGGGAATGAGCGAATTTCAAAATGAGATGTTACTCTTAGTACCCTTCAACTTACAACGAAAATTTAATCAAAAATTAACAGAGTATAAGTATGCTTTACTTGGTAAATGCAAAGAGACTATGATTATTTAAGGAGATTGCGTAAGAGGCATGCACGTATAATGGTCCAGAGTCCGAACCATCCTGCATCAATGACGTAGGTGGCACGCTAGTATACTCCTTCCTCGCTTTAAATCGTAATCTGCGACAACCATATGACAAAATCCTACTCCTGTCATCGCACAATAACTGGTGTTGAATGAAAGCAATCATGAGCCTGTTGTTTCAGTCCCCAATTTTCCATGCACCAAATAGCCCGAACTAAAGTGGGGATTCTTTTCTTTGGAAGAAGGGAATCTAGGTAGTTGTCACACACGCCTATGGCTTGATGCGGTATTCTTAAACTAAAAAAGGACTTATTTTAGGAAAGACATGGTTTAAGTGATTTGGCAGATCAATTTTCGGGCCTCTTTCTACTCTTCATTGTTGTTTTCAACCTCTCAGCTGTCTAGTCGGGCTTATTAAGAGTCTACGCAGCCGGTAATTGCAGGCTAACTCTATGGATAATTTTATGCTGGGATGATAAGTTAACTCCCTAATAAATATACTGCAAGGCTGTTTAAGACCAGTATCGCTTCCACTATTAATAGCCTTTCCACAAAAAAGGGGCTCAAGGCACTCACTGATGTTATTAATCACTTTGATTTCCTCCTTCATGGTTTATTGGCCAATCTTCCCCATCTGTTGACAACGAGGTAGGTGTCGAATTGCATTCGGACACCACAAGTCCTCCCTTCTCAAGCGTAATGAAGGAAAGGGCAATTGAAGATATCACAATGGTCGAACGATTTAAAGCAATGCTTTAAAGCCTGTGGCGCAAACGCAGCTATTAAGTGACCAAACGAATGTCCATTTCTCGGGCTAATTTCCCCTTTGCACACAATGTGTATGTTACAACGATTTTGAACCTCCATTAACCATATACTTCCTGCCCACTCTTCTCCACAGGGCTAAATATATACACAAACGAAAAATCGACGGCGAATGGGAAGTTCGGGTGGAACAAGTAAGTCAAAGTAAAATGGGTTTATCTAAAGTCATGCCAACAGACCAACTGTCTCATCACATTTTGGTTATTAGCTATTTGCCCACTTTTTTATCACCAAGTCTACTCCTAGGCAAGAAGTTTTGGCCTAAGGCAGTACCGGAAGTGTTGTCATAAAGGGGACATTATTCTCCTAGAATGTGGAAAACATGGAACTTGAGGATATGGCGGATTGCATTACGGTGTAGTCATGATGGTCAAAAGTTACCTTTGCCATGCATTTGCAATCAACAATATGTTGGATTTATATCCCGCATGCTTAATGTTTCGCAGGCTCAAATGAACGACATCAGCATTACCGCCTACCCAGAACAGGGTTGTGTTGTAAGTGTCCAAGACGGAAGAGGAGGACGTTCAAACACACGGTACGTCTAACACACCTTACTTTAGAATTTACAAGAGAGGATAAATTTCGCTGACCCTTAACAAAAAAAGCAATTAAACCATAAAAAAGTATCCAACAACTTTCTATTTAGCTTTGAATCATTGACAATGAAGCACCATGTATATCTGTAAGAATGGTAGAAAACTGTAACTAAACCGCGAAACTCTCTCTGAAGGATTGGAAACGCAATTAATCTTTTGGATCCTTTTGTTAGTATTGCGGGGTCTGTCGGTAGACCAGCCAGATGTCAATTCAACAAAGCTTTTCAAACTTACTTTACACAGAACATTCAAACCAGATTTCGTGCTGATTCGGCAAGGGCTTGGTGCAGCAACACAACACTATGAGAATTTGATCACCGGACTCATGTTTGGTGCAGTACCTTGCATGAACTCCGTCGAAGCGGTCTATAACATGCGCAATAAAGCCTGGCTTGTAAGCTGTCTAAAAATACTTTATTGCACTCTACTAAATAGTGTCTCGTTTCAGCAAACATCAGACAAATTAACCACAAAAAATCTTATCTGAATAATATTTACTGCAAATCTCAGCACGTTTTATCAACCATTTATAGTTCTCCAACCTATTGAAAATTCAAAAAAGGATTGGTGCGACGAACTTTCCCTTAATTTCACGGAGTTATCAAGTCAAAAGTCAGTCGCAGGTATGTTTTCGCATGTTGACACATTTTGCCATCCTGTTATCTATCGTGCTTACTGTTAAAGTGAAGCTTTTTCCCAAGAATGCATAAAGAAAGCGAAACATTTGTTTTTCAGTGGCTGCATAGCATTTGCTGTCAGAATTTATTTTAAACAGGTTAGGTTCCTTAAGCATTCTAAATGTTGACTTAATATGCAGCATCGTAAAAGCAAAATTTCACTAGAAATCTGTACTTTCTAAAGGCAAGTTTAGTTAACATAAATAATATATATACAGTGTTTGTATGCAGTAAAGGTGGCCTTGTGTTTTTAGCCCGCATCTCCCCAAATACTCATTCGACTGTAAATGATTGGATGTGGTTTGCTGCTTCGCATTCGTCAAATGTCACTTTGACTTCTTATTTATTTTGATTGAGAACTTCGTTTGAAATTATGTTATTCTTCGAATTGAAGATGATGTTTTGATGAATGATGACTGCCATTTTGTGGATGATTTGTCAATATAAACTAATCACTTAGACTTTTTGTACGTTAAATGTGACAATATGGTTATGTTAAATCGCGACCTCTTATGAGGTTTAGACTCGTTTGCATAGCCTTTCGGCATCGGAGGATGGAAAGACTTCGGGAAAAGCGGTGGGTGATACTACATTCGATTTTGCTTTCGATGGAATGAAACGCCCTCAATTGATCCTTTCACTGGTTCACATCTTAGGGGTCATTTATCTTATGCTATTTTGGAGCTTTCTGGGGCGATAGTCACGTAATTCGCAGCATAATTTGTGTTTAGTTAGTTTAAGAAATGCCAGTGCATTATTTGTTGCAACACCTTTTAGAAGCCTGATTTTGAGATGCCAGTTAACGTCAGACTTGGTGGAGATTCTGCGCGGGAATGCGAGGTATGATGAATGGTGTCTCTTACACAAATTAATCAATTATTTATTTGTTCCAACCTTGTCTACAATTTCGAGTCCCTTTCTACATGAGCTAATGCTTGCATTTTTAACCACCCTTTGATGCGTTCTTTTATGTTCAGTTTCTAGTGGATTAAGCCCTGAATTGGAACCTGTTGCGTTCATTCATACATGCACATAATGCTTGTATTTAAAAAAAAAACTAAAACTCAGTATCAAGCGGTGATGCTTTGCGGTTCCTACAATGCATGTAATGAAAGTCTATTTATGCCGTGGGATGACTGAGCTTAAGGTCTTGAGTCACTTCATCCTTGTAAGAGCATAAAGGTAGAACTTTTCAATGGTAATGTCTGTTTTTAAATGTGCAGTGCCTGTGGATTCTCAGTGACTTCCGTTTCAACCGCCTCAGCGTTTTTACAGAATCAAAGTTATCAGCCCTATTGGTTGCTCCTCCTTTTGGTTTATCTTTATTTTTTCACATAATTACTTTGCTGTTTACCATAAGGTTTTATTGTGTTCTAATAGGTTCTCCTTTTGTGCACTGTCTTATGTTTAACAAGTCTGGAATGCCGTCTGCCAGTCTGTTTTCTTTAATGCTGCCTCAAAATTTGCATGAATTTTTGGCAAAAGGTAGTCTGCAACGGGTGTTGGCTTTAATAATCGACATTTTTGCATAAATTAATTTGACAAACAAACTCGAGATGACCACCTTGACAGTGAGTTGAAAAAAATTGCGCCTGAAAAAGAGGTGTTGCAGATAGCATATCTTTTTATGAAGTGAAAAAAAAAAACCGCTGCCTACGAGTGTACATGATGTATTTACTGGCTTCAAACGGACTTGTCTCTACCCTCCTACCTTAAAGTAGTGAAAGGCTCGGAGGTGAGAGAAGGGAGCGCAAGCGAGTTCATCCACGGAAGCCAATGTGGTGAATCACGCCACACTCCATTCAAACCGTGAGTTCAACCATCAAAAAAACGTAGTGTAAATTCTCAGTTCTCCCCTTTGGCAATCGGAGGGATGAAAGATGATCACTGGATGCCGTTTGTGCCAGATGTCAAAGGCTTATGCCATTGGGAGGGAAGTTGACTGCATCTTCATCGTTCCTCCCCTGAGACCGTGAGTTTATGGACGGAGGAATGTGTGTGGCCAAACAGAGACACGGGATGACTGAATTAAGTGAGGAGAAGGAGGAGGAGGAGGAAGTATTGCAGCCTCCCTTTTTTAACGACCTACAGTAAAACTTATCGAGGGCGCTTTGCAATTTGCGTTTACTCCACTCTTTTTACCTCTCA